GCGCAGAGTAGTACCACATATCCCATCTTTTGGTGTGTGGGCCACCAAATTCAGATACCTTACAATTTCAGGCTGGTAGGCCTTGTTATCATCAACTGAGAAAATACCTGCAAAATTCAGATTTAGGTCTGGATTTTGTACTCCAGGTTTAAATTCAGAGGGGTAGGACAGAGCTCTGTCTGCTGGACTTACTCCACACCCTCCTGATCAGCTTCCTTAAGCATCCACAGTATACGGAAATAAATATATGTATATATGCCTCTCTCCCAAAATAGTCCTAGGGGCTGAAACCCTAGATACTGTGGGTGAAATAAGTCAGTTCCTCTGACAAAGACACATATGGTTGAATTTTAAACATGGGGCCTTTAGAAATCTCTAGAATTTTAACTATCAGTGTGTAACAGCCTCTATGATGTTCCCCACCTTGTAACAGTTAAAACAATGATTCATCTTCATAAGAAATATGTAACTGCCTAAAACTAACTCTCAAATAATGTTAATTATCTGCATGGTCTGCGTTTCAGCATATGCAATTTCCAGCTACCAACACTGGACATTATGAAAGCTTTTACATGACATCAGCTTTCCAATGAGCAGTCACCTATAAAATACATAATTTTTAATCTGCATTTGATTGCCACAGCTTAAACCCCCGGAATTTATGGGCGCTACAAATCGTTTTTAGACTGTGCAGTGTAGAATAAAAGCCAAGAATTTTGGTTTGGCTTGTTGGTATTTCCTGAAAACATGAAACAATTCTGAAAGGACAGATTTCCTGGCTCACAGCTAAAGGTCAGCAGTCACACAGGGAGCGCTTGCTAAGTGTACCAAAATGATTGGGAAGGAAAGATTGGCACAACATTGAAGTATTATTAAAAAGTGATTTAAGTGGGGAAAAAGGGAGAAAAGAGATGGACAGGCAAGGATTAGACTCTCAACAAGTGAGCTTTCATCAAGACTAGAAAAACAGCCTTGTTCCTTGCAGGCCCTCACTGTCACTCCAAGCACGGCTTGCCTTCGCTCCCTCTTTCCGCCGCCTCCGCCAGCCCCAGCCCCGGCCCCTGCCACCATCCCGGCTGCCCTGGTCCGAATGCCACTGCTCTGGCCAGGCAGCACAAACCACTCCTCCAGCCTTTCCTGCAGGGTCCAGAGGTGTTTCCAGGCTCATCTCTGTAACAGATTATGGAGGCAAAAGTTTCATTGGGAAGGACAGGAGTTTGGAAGTCCCACGACTTTGTGCAGCACTGTCATACAGTTGTGTGCTCTGCAAGAAAAAGCTCCTTTTCCCAAGGAATCTCTCCCAAACATGCCCAATGTTCATTGCTTGCTCTCAGCACAATCAAAACCAAAGCACTTTACTGGCTAACTCCTGTTCTGCAGCCGGCAGAGGGGGCAACAGGCAGCTCTTATTGGTTTCTTTTCATGAAACCATCTGCTTGAAAAAAGTTCCCTGACAAAGTATTTCATTTTACAATGATAGCGAAAATTTCTGATACCAGTTTTAAAACAAGCACGTTCCACAATTAAAATCTGAGGCATGTATAATGCTGGTAGCATCTTTAAAACAGTATTTAGTACTACTCTCAACAGAGACTTCCCAGCCCCCTCCAAGACGCCCAATCTTGTTTTAGTTTTTATCATTCATGTTTTTCTTTTAAAGAATGGGGTATGTACAGTTTTCCAGGCAAATAACTCTGACCAAAATCAACCTAGCAGCCTCCAGCAGGTCCCCGCCACAGGCTGTGCACTCAGGTAACTACACTCCCCTCCCTGCCTGAGCAAGAGCCCTGGGACATCAGAATTAACTAAGAATTTGTGCGCATAATCCTGCTAATGAAATGCCACTACTCAGACCTCAACGTCCTCCCTAACACTAACTTATCAAAGGCATATGCTCCCATCACTCATGGTCTCTGCTTTTTATTTTTTTTTTCCTTTTTTAAATTAAAACCAATTGGTTGTAGAGCAAATAATACCTTTTCAGCTAAAAGGTTAACAGCAAGTCAATGACCACATGTGTAGCTCAAATCCAATGCCCCCAAAATTGGGCTAACTACAGTAAACTAAAGCAAAACAACAAATGCACTAGTAAGCAGCTAAGCAATACTGTAGGCTCTTAACTTTAAATTTACCCCTGGCAGATCCTGAAGGAAGGGCATCCCTGAAGGCATGTGTCCTCTGCTATGCAGAGAGAGAGCACTCAAACCATAGGTTCCTATTCCACATATATCACTTTTGAATATATGGCTATACCTACCACATGGCATCTGTATTTCATATCTATATTTTTTCTAAAAATACTTTGTATGAGATAAAGGACACACTGCTCTTGCCCCCAAAGTGTTTGCCCAGCAAGACTGAGACAACAGGTTATAATTCATTGCAACAGGACAAAGCCGTAGCTCAGTGTAGAGGTGCTCTGACAATGTAGGGTTTTACAGACCACAACCTGCAAGGATGAATTATTCTCCAAAGCAAAATGTTGAACACTAGCATGCAGAATATTACTTCATAGGCAGATTGCTGTAGCCTTGCCATTTTCTAGCTGGAGCTTCAGGGCAATTTACAAGTAGAGACTATTGCCATGATGAGCGGTGAGATTACAGAAGCAAGATTTGCTGTGATGAATCTAAAAAAGACAGCTTCAGGCCTAAAGTTCAATGTGCCACACCTGCTAGCAGAGAATATATGAATAATCTGATCTCCAGGCTGCAAATACTATGAGAAAGGGTTGTACATCCCCATGCAGTGGAGCCTCCCCCACTATGTCCTCTGAAGGCCAAACAAAATCGCTAATATGAAGACAAGCTGTCTGCAGCCCCAAAACCTGCACTCTAAACTGCTGCTAAGGAAATCCAGCAAATCCGGGCATCCAGTGACAGAAAGAGTAGAATTTATCAATCTGACATTAAAAAACTCTTTTCTTGAACAGCTCAAACAGGACTATGAGTAAAAAAGTCTTGTTAACTGTGAGTTTAATAACATTAACTGGAAGATGGGGTGGATTCTATGGCATTGTTTCAGGAGCCGAGGTGATTCCATTGCCCCACCACCATAACTCCAGAACTCCCTCAATTTTAAACCGTCTATGCAGTAACTAAAGAAAAACTAATAATACTGCTTATAGATAAAGTCATGCTTGAAACTCAGACACAATATGATTAATTTTTTTCTTCTTTTAAATCATGTCTTGCATAAATTACAAACTCTATATTGATTGCAAGGGTAGTTAAGCAAACTAAAAAGGTATAATGGGAGCAAGACACATCCTCTTGGCCTTGTGGGATCATGTGAGGTTATTCCCACTGCAAAACACCAATGATCTGTGCATTATGGTCTGTTAAAGTAATACTTGGCTTATTGAACACTTACTTTGATGCTTAAAAGAAACTCAGGTATGCACCACAGAAATACAGATCTATTTTTATAAAATGCTGGGGAACAAAAACAAATAGAAAAGGAAAGCCCTTACAGCTCTAGCTGGCATCTCAACACCAGCATCCTCCTATAACATGCTTGGTTTTGCTTACTATTATTCCTATTGTTATCAATCCACCAAAACATCACCCTCATACCAAATCAGTTCTTCACTAAGCAACTTCTGCTCGTCAATATAATCCTCAAAGCTTCCATCAAATTTTGCACTCTCTTACATGACAGATGTAGAACCATGTTCTTTTGAATGTCTGTGCAAAAATAAAGAGCAGATATACCAGCCAATGCTGCGATAGGCAGTGGAGGGAGAGGGTGCCAAGGCTGGTGGATTTTCTGCATTAACCCCTGTGAAGGGCTGGATTTCAGAGGCCAGCAAGTGCGCTCAGCTGCAGCTATGTCAGGTCCCATTCAGACATCAGTCTGAGCAACCAGCATTGTAAGGCTCTTTTGAAAAACCTGGTTATCACTTTTTAAGACAGGTGAAAATCAATTAATTTTGAGCTTTTAACGGAATGCCTTTGCTGTGGTCAACCTTGGCCACAGTTCCAATACATTTTGTAGAGATACACTGCCTTTTCTTTCTATTTAGTGTAAAAGCACTTAATCTTGGTTATCAGTTCCCTGAAGGTCAGGCTTATTTCTTTAGATCTATTATTTACTGCTTGAAATTTCCAGTTCCACCTTTCTGGCTATTATAGCTTCTTTCCTCAACTCCTATTCTTTTCATGATAACTCCACATGATGACTGTTGATAAAGTTAGGAGGACCGTGATTCTAAATGTCTGACCTTCTTCAAAATCTGATAATGGATACAGTTTCTGAATCATAGGTCATCTCAATTTTGCCAAGAAACCATTTATTTCCAGTAGCCTTCAGACCTTGAGGCTTACTGTGCACTGCAAAATGGATTCTTCAGGGAACAATAAAAATAAGAGAGCCATCCTTAGCCTTTGCTTAGCACATTAGGAGGGATACTGTACTTTGGAGAGTATACTTGTCCACAACATCTTATGCACCACACCAAGACCCTCACTGCTGTACATTTTCAGATGATTATCTGAAGCTGAAATTTCTAAGCGTCTAATGTGAAGTAACCTCCTTTTCATTTGCAATCTATATGGAAAGGACAAGAAAAATCCATGCCTCCTTAAACCCTCCCCACCTACCAAGGGCTATCCAGTCACCTTTACCATATTCTTCAATTTACAGCTCAAGGCATAGTGCCAAGTTTTACATCACTACCTCAAATGTTATGCTGCTGTGGTAAGACCCGATTACGCCATGCCTGTAAAAGCTGTGTCGGTGCCAAGGTACACAATTTGTTGGTATGAGTGCCTGCCAGCCTCCTTCAATGGCTTTACTGAAATGGAGTTCTCAAAATGACTTGCTCTTGCAAAAACACTGCCAGAGGTACAATTCCTATTGAAGGTCAACATTTCATGCAAACTATTGAACAAGATGCAGAGGAAGGTGTGTCGAACACAACTCCCTGGCTCAAACAGTGCTTGGAAAGTTAAGCAGTGACTAGACCCTGAGCAGGGGGACACCGAGCAGGTTTTACTTACTGTCAAAGCTTCTGTGCTGCGCTGTTAGAGTTGTCTGCACAGAGCGACCAGCCTCTTTCATCATGGCTTCAAATTCACTTCGGCTTTTGTTTGCAAAATTCTCCTCCATCTCGCTGGTGCAGCAGGTATAGCCTTGCGGGCAGATTCGCAGGTGCTCCCCTAAAATGAGAGAAAACACAGTTGAATGGCAAGGTCTGAAAAAGGAAGTATTTCACTGCAGACAACACCAGCATAAAAATAGTCCAGATCCCTAGTAACCTGGATCTGCATCAGGCTTTACATGTTTACCCGCTAAATTGAGTTATCCTGCATTAGTATAGTGGTTGGTGTGAATGCAGGTACAAATTTTCTCACTGTTGACTGTGAAGGAAGGAAAATTGAAGGAGATAAAATTCATACATGGGGCAAGGAGAAGGGAAATACAAGCGTCTCCTGCTCAAAGTCTGCCCTAGAATCCAGCTCTGCCTAGAATCCCACAAGACATGTAAGTCTCTGATTAAATGACATACTAGTCATCCTCATTAGACTTGACATGTATATTAAAACAACTGTTTGAAACTACTTTGCCAAGAAAAATAACCCAACTCCAACACCCTCCTCTCTTCCTAAACCAACTCCCCGCAAACACCTATCATGAGAAGGCATTTCCATAACCAGAGAGGTGAGACTAGTGAGAAGTTTTCAAAAGACAAGAGTCATGTTGAATGCCAGTGGAATTTGGGTGACTAATTCCCCTCCACACATTTTGAAATCTGCCCATTTTTCAATTAAAATTTCAAACTTCTTCAATTAAAAATTTATCTCGCAGAAAGAGACAAGACCACTCAAAAAAGGGCTGCTATGACAATCACTGACTGAATATACCTTTTGCTATAGGGAAGCACAGGAAAGGTAAGAGGATTCGGCAGTCAGATTGAAAAATTCTTCAGTATGGGAGCACCTCCTCGCCTCTGCAATCTCTTTATTGTGGATAAGCAAGCGTTTGCATAGACAGAGTCAGCAACATTTTAAAAATAATTGCTTAAGTTCTTATGAGTCCTCACAAACAAAGGCACGTCCACCTGCAAATACATCCTACATGTTTCTCCTTACCCAGTAATAAGAATTCATTTGAATGAAATCAAACATCAGGGTTATTTTTTTAAAGAATAAAAAAACCCACCTTGTTCCAAGCACATGCTGAAATAAACCAATTACAAAGAAGTTACTGTGTTTAACATAGTTTGATTGGGATTACCAATGATTTTATTGGCAGTTTTACAGGACTGCTGTATTAACATCATAGCTGAGCTGAAAGATGTATTTAAAATCATGTTTTATCTTGTGTGTCTCAACAGCTCCAAATCTTGAACCTACACAGTCCTCCAGAGTTTCCCATTAAAGTCCTTAGCTATTACCAGCATAAAGCCCTTTGCAAATGGGTGCCTTAGGGTAAGGGGTCTTTGAAACTGGGCACGTGTCCCTACCCTTGTGGATGCCATGTCAATTAGTAGCCTGACTAAGAGCAATTTTGACAGGAGTGCTCTGTAGTTGATATATTTTACGCAGAAGCCATTCAGGATGAGTTTGCATTTTGCTGGCCCTCAGGTCCCTGCTCACAGATGGCTCTGGAGCAACCTCTGCAGGGCGCTGGGGTGAGCCTGCCCTTGGAAGACAAGTTATCATCTGTCTTTGCACCAGGAGAGCAGCCAGCAAGTGTACGTGACAAAAATTGCTGCTCACCAGCTTTCGTAGGAGAACAACTCCCACCATCAGGCTTGTGTTGTGCTGCCAGCAAGGAGGGCAGTGTGTCCTGTGGGCTCCTGTCTACCATGGGACCCCCTCCAGTGCCCACGAGCACCCAGGCACCACACCGTCAAAGCAACAACAAAAGCAGCAACTTGCTTCAATACAAAAACTAAGAGTCAAATATAAACATCACATGGCTCAATGCTTGCCATACCAAATGCAATTTAAGTTACAGTGCTTGCCTAAGCCTTTCCTTCCTTCATAAACTAGACTGTTGCAATTCATTCCCTGAACTCATTTCTGCAAAGCTGCATTTGTACAAGTCAGCGTGAGGATTGCCAGCATGTGACAGACAGGCAGAAAAAGAGAGAGATAATTTTTTGACAAGACACAGCTTTGTTTCCTGTCATGAAAAATTAAAAACTTTCTTCTTGTCCAGCCACTTCTGTCCAATTTCTGCTGCCACAGGATTTCTGACAAGGATCAAAGTTTTGTTGACAGTTGTCTTACCGCAGTGTTCATCCTCCATGCCGCCCTTGGTGCCCTCAGAACAAAGTGAGGCCTTTTCAGTGCCCGGCCTCTCTGAAAGGCCTATAAACAAGGCAATGGATCCCAAGGGATCCCAATGGTTCCCCAAACCCTACCTTTACCACCACCGGCTCAGCCGCTGATAAATTTTGCAGATGAGGTCCTGGTCCTGCAAGCTCTTGCACTTGATAGCACTCAAAAGCACGTGCACTCCCGCCACTTCTCCGTGCGCCATTACCCACCAGGGCTTTCAGGTTCAGCCTAAGCCACAAACAACCCATTACAAATCCCCTATTTTGGTAAACCAAGATAAAGCAGTGGGAACTGACCGCTTGGGGAACTGCCATCTGCTGGCCTGCTGCCAGTAAGCAGGGCCCGGCTGCGCAATGGTCTCCTACCCCCTCAGGAAGGATTCAGGCAGGAGACCGGCCCAAAACTAGGGGTAGCAAACATGGCTGCCCCAGCAGGGAGACACCTCCATGTTCCTCAAAGCTGCCAGTCAGGCGGGTTCCCTCCACACACAGCCCCAGGCTTTAGAAACAAAACGGAGGGGGAAAGCGTGTGGATTGCCTCTGGGTAAGAACAGGGCCTGCCCCCAGGAGAAAGATGGACAGGGAGGAGCTGTGCCCAAGCTGCCTGACGAACAATGAGGAGCAGCAGAAGTGAGAGGCGCACTAATTAAAACGTGACATGACCAGACAAAAACCTCCACACTCCCACCCCAGGCAAAGCAGAGAGCCTGTTTCAGCAGGATGGCATCAGTCCAACGCCTCGCTGTGCTAGCAGAGCTTCAAATAACCTCCAGCCAGCCGGCACCACAGAACAGAGGGGAAAGAGACAGGGGGGGAAAAAGACAGAAAGCAAGGGAAAAGTCACACCCTTAGCTAAAATTGCTTAATTTTACACAACTCTGTGAACTGAATATAGACATTTTTTAATGCTTGAACTCAGAGCAGTTTCAATCCCTTTGGAAGCAACATTTATCTTTTCTTTCTGCAGGCATTTGTATGGTACTCAGCACCACAGCACTTTATCTCAGTGGGAAGCAAAGTTTTTATCATTTGTCTTTGTAATTCATACTCAGTGCACAGAAAACAGTCTCACTGCACTATGAAAATGATTTGCTTTCTTTGCTTTTTAACCTGATCCACCTTGGAAACAATCACTATTATTATTTAACCTTTTTTTTTATTGACTCCAAAATAAATGCATTCTAAACTCTATTTTTCTCTCCTTGTATTTCAAAGTTCATTTGTTTGCTAACTTGCCGTTATGTCATTGCTGAAGCTGCACTATAAATGTCTGTGGATTCACTTGGCAGGAGATTATCTGTAGATATCTACGGAGAGCTAGAGGTGTTTTACGAGGAGTAAATCTGCAAGATACCGTGTGTGTTCTCCACTGCTGCATCAGATAAATTTCCCCTTGTATAGAGCTGACATGTTGCTAACTGCTTGCTCAAGAGCGCATGCTCTCGGCCCTGAGAAGAGCTTTACAGAAAGCAAGGGAGCACAGCAGAAGCCAAACCGGCAGCACGCAGAGGGCTGCTCCAAATCTTCTTGAAGGTAAAGGACACACTCCCAATGACTCGGGCCAACTCTGGGTCAGGCCCAAAGAGAATTACACTATCCCCTGTGAGTCTGTAACTGAAACCCAGCCATCTCTCCCCACCCCTTGGCTTGCAACCCTCCAGCTGAGCAGCTCTGACAGTAGAGCACAGACGTGCCCAGGGTACATTTGATGGCTCAGCTAGTACCAGCTCCACGCTGCCCTAAGCACTCTAGATTTAAGAAACATTTACATTCATAAGTAAGAGAAGATGAACTTTGGGATGTTCGGCCTCCCTTCAGAAAACTAATGTCTTGCCCCAGCCTTTGGCAGTCAAAATGTGTGGTTCAATCTGGGTGCCCCTGGAAGAGCCAGCTCTCCTGCCAAGGCTGCTGAGGTCAGGGAGGGATGTAACCCACCAGCTTCACAGTCTCTTTGAAAACAGAGACAGGGCAGAGCATGCATGAAAACAACATCGAACAAATATCTCATTTATGATTAACTGCCCTGGAGTAGAAGGAAATAGGCAGGAGGCTGATGACAAGAAAATATCACACTGCCTGGCTACGGGCTTGGATCGTCCTTCAAATACCCTCTCAGCTGCCTGGGTTAGCAGATCATTTTGGCTACCAAATTCATTACTGCATTTGAGAGTGCCAAATATTAAATCAATTGACCACTTTCCCCTTGGGGACAGAGCCAGACTGCTTTGTGGCAGGGTCCCTGCAGGGGGAATAGCCCTACCCACAGCCACCACTGACATGAGCTGAGACGGGGCTCAGCTCCGTGCTTCTTCCCCTGTGTGGCCACAGCCCACTCAGGTTCTCCTCAGCTGTGGGCCTGCCTGCCACGGGCTGTGCTGGGAGCTGCTGCGGCCACAGCATGTGGTGTAACACACCGAGGCGGCAGGACCTTAGCTAACTGAGTCCAGAAAAGCTCTCTAGCTGTTCACTGCTGCTGCGTTTCACCCCGCGACAAGGCTCTGTAGCCACAGAAACAAGAGAGAAGGGCAGTCCCAAGGGTGTAAAATCCAATACTGAGAGAAGAGTCCTCAGCTCCTTTAACCATGTAAATAGTGCTATTTCTATCCCTCTCACAGGATGTTGGAGGCTGAATTCATTACAATGTTCACAGAAGGTTTGGGGTTATTTGGATGTGTCAGAGTATCTAAATGCAAATTATTACAAAAATCATTCCTCCCAGAGGTTAATTTATTTCAGGCTGTGATAAATCTGTCATGATTCCTCCCTCATAGTTGCAACCCTCCTCCCACTCCCTCTCTCCAAACTGCTCCAAAAACCCATCTTGCACTCCCAGACTGAAACTGACCCCCAGCTGCCTCAGTCCAGCCTCCC